GTGAGATTTCAACCACTTGCCATTCCTTCACGTCTGGGTGGTGGGGGCGGTGGGATCGGAGAGTGAGAGGTGAACGTGGGATTGGAGAGACGTTGAAGACATTTCTCAGGGTGACTGCATAACGTATCCTAGTCAGAAGTCACATGACACCAGGTTACAGTCCGACAGGTTTATTTGAAATCGCAAACCTCCGGAACGCTGCTCCGTCATCAGGACTTTACCTGACAAAGGAGCAGCGCTCTGAAAGCTTGTGATTTCAAATAAACCTGTCGGACTGTAACCTGGTCCAGAGATAGTAGGAACTGCCGATGCTGGAGAATCTGAGATAACAAGGTGTAGAGCTGGATGAACACAGCAGGCCAGGCAGCATCAGAGGAGCAGGAAAGCTGACGTTTCGGAACTGGACCCTGGTGTCATGTAACTTCTGACTTTATTCACCCCATTACAACACAAGCACCTCCACATCGTAACGTATCCCGCACTGAAAGGCATTCAGGGTCCTGGAGATGGCTAGCTGTGACTCAGTTTCGCAGCCCCTTTTTGTCGGTTCCCTCTTTCTCCCAGGCTGATCGATGCCTTTACTTTAATTAAACAAGAAGTGAATTTGTCACAGCTGTAGAAGAGCCATTAATTCTGTCTGTAAAGCAAGTGCTTCACTGACAACACATTATGAAACACACTGGTGTGCGTGTGGTTTGCTTGGGACAGCATGCTTTAGGAAACTGCATTTGCTGTCATTCGTGAATTCAGTTGTGACTGTGAGGCCCAGAAATCTTATGGCTTTGCTCAATATAAATATTAATGGCAAACATTCCCCTCGGGACGTAAACAGGGATCTGGTAGAAATTTCATCTGCATGAGACCCCTGGTTACTAGAGACAGTTACTAGGTTACTGTGTAGTGTTGTGATGACACCCTGAGGATTTTGGAAGAAACTCTGAAGCATTCACAGTGCTAACGTAAGCAACAATTAGACCTATAGGCATATCTTGTTTCAATATACAATATTGTGGCTTTACAAATTGGGTTGCATTTACTTGTTAATAAGGTTTGACAACACTAAACTGAAGGATCCTTAAACAAACCTCTGAGCGAAAAGGAAATAATGTCAGTGCACCAGCCACAGCCTTCAGTCCTGATACTCATACAGTGTGTGAAAGTTTGTTCAGTCTCATATTCTTTGGCCCTCCTTGTTAATCACTTTGTTGTTCCACTGGGAAATCAATATCAATGTTGTAGTGAGTGAATAGGTTGTAAAAAATTAAATCTCCAGTCTGGTGCCTTGGAATCTTGATAGATAGCATTTTAAGAGTGTCCCCAGGGTTTCATCATTAACTCTCCACCTGACTCCACATTATCATTCCTTCCACTACCTTTGAACATCACACGTCGGAGACCCATGTTTAATATTGCACCAAAGTGATTGAAAGCACTTTTCCAATCTTGCTGGTGCCCACAAGAACATCTGCAGCCCGTGAGCTCTGCATTCCTCGCTTCAGATTTACAGCCTAACACTGAACTGTGTCAGGCTCATGGAAGTATAGCACGTTACAGCTTAGAAGGAGGCCATTTGGCCCATCAGTTTAGTCTTGTTTACCCTCAAAACCTTGCAAATTACTGCTTAGTGAGTACCAGTCTGATTGCCTGGTTGTAAGATCTGCCCCCAGGCCATGTTCAAGTTCTGACCAATCCTCTACATTTGGGGATGGGGATCAGGAAATTGACCCTGTTCTTCTTTTGCAAATTACTTTAAATCACCGACCTCTTACTACGGTGCCACTTGTGGAATACGAAATCCACTGGTTTTATTTACCGAAAAAAGATTTCCTCCACCATATCTCCCCTTGAGCTTCTCCAATTCCAACCAGTCAGTGGGGAGGTCCAGTAGGTGACCACAGTGACTTTAGGGAGGAATTGGATGATTGGAACCTGCCCCCTGAAAATCATTAATGAACTATTTGTGGGTGCAGTATCCGACTGCAGTTATCAATGATACATTATCCAATTGAAGCAGTATTAGGAACATTAAGTATCAAACATAGAATCCCTGCAGTGTGGAAGCAGGCCATTCGGCCTATCAAGTCCACACTAATCCTCCGAAGAGCATCCCACCCAGACCCACCCCCCCTACCTTATCCCTGTAACCCTGCATTTCCCATGGCCAATCAACCTAACCTGCACATCCCTGGACTATAAGAGGAAACCGAGGACCCGGAGGAAACCCACGCAGACATGGGGAGAACGTGCAAACTCTACACAGACAGTCACCCGAGGGTGGAATTGAACCCTGATCTCTGGCACTGTGAGGCAGCAGTGCTAACCACTGAGCCACTGTGCCCAAGTTTAGGTCTTGGTTTGAAATCCTTTGTGTTTTTCCTCTTTTGGACCTAAACATCAAAATAATGACTTTTTTGATAAGTAAATGACTTTCATTTACAATGCAATATAGAGAGCATGGGATGTGATAGCAATAACGAAAGGGGATATGTGCATTCAATTAATTCATTCTTGCATGTCACCTCAACTCCAAGCATCTCAATTGGATTTCTGCTTGATCTCCTCTGTATGTATTTTGAAATTTGTTTTTATTTTGCGGCTAACCCGTTGCAGTATTTATCTTGGCATTATACGTAGTCTGGTGTATTTGACAATGATATGGTGCATTAGTTATAAGCCGTGCTGAGGTGGAGCAGAAAGGACAGAGCCAGTGTTGATCTGAAAGCTGGGGGTAGGGCAGAGGATCAAACGTGGTTGCACTGGGGACACATCTGGCAGTGTCTCTGTTCTGTAATTTGTGGTTAACCGCAGCACGACGGCCTCATTCAATTTGATTACAAACCACCCCATTATCTAATCACACTTCAGTTTAGGTGCCCATGTGCTGTTCCTGCACGATACTGATATGGCATGCAGTCAAATATGAGGTAGTGTGCTCTCTCAGGTTCCCTGGGCAGAATTCAATGCCCCCTCTCACCCCAAAAAAAGAGTTCGTGTTTCATATGCGGGGGCATTGTCTACTCTCCGCATCCACATGATTAATTTCAGGGTGGGGCAGCCTTGTCCTGTCTCACTGCTGCTGCTGGTAGTCACCCAGAGGCAGTGGGGGAGTCATCACACAGGAGAAGCTTACCCTATTGAGTTCGCTTGCGAGGTTCTGAGGATGGTTCAGGGAGCCAACGTCCACACAGGACGGAGGGGGTTGGCATCTCCTGCAAGCTGTCCCCACCCTGTCTTCTGACCAGCATGCCCACTCGTACACCCACCCACCCTCCAATCACTCCCCATCCCACTATCACTCTCCAGTGGCCTGATGCCCTTCTTCTGAGCGGCATTGTGCCTCAGTGGTTAGCACAGCACGGGTTCGATTCCACCCTCGGGCTGTGTGGAGTTTGCACATTCTCCCTGTGTCTGCGTGGGTTTCCTCCGGGTGCTCCAGTTTCCTCCCACGGTCCAAAGATGCGCAGGCGAGGTGGATTGGCCGTGCTAAATTGCCTGTAGTGTCCAGGGATGCGCAGGCTAGGTGGGTTAGCCTTGGGAAATGCAGGGTTATGGGGAATGGGGGTGGTTCTGGGTGGGTTGCTCTTGAGAGGGACAGTATGGACCCAATTAGCTGAATGGCCTGCTTCCACAGTATAGGGTTCCATGATCCTATGAGTGCAGTGCCATCAGCTGTCACTGTTCTTGGCAACACCAGCACCAGTGGAGAGATTCCAATGGGCATGTGAGGATTTGTGGTTCTGGGGTCCTTATTCTAAGGGAGGAGGCCCAGCGTTGGCCACTTCAATGTCTAATTATTACTAGCATGTCTGCACCTCAAACATCAAATTCCACCCATACTTCTGATTCCATGAATTGCGAGCTGCCACATTTTGTTGGCTAATTTCCACAGTTTGGCATTAGCTTCACAAAGTGCTTTTTCACTTAAGCTTTCAAACGTTTTCCATGAAGTTGCTGTTATTTATCTTAATGACTCATTAAACACAGAATGAAGTACGCTCATTAACAGTGTATGTGTATCCTTTCAAGATGTGATGGGTTAATAACTGTCGATCAACCTCCTGTGATCCAAAATTTCATCCAAAACCCGCACCCATATATAAGGGGTGTGTAGCGTACGTAAAAGGCACTATTCAAATGCACATTGTGCTTAAAGCTCAAAGGTTCTCCCCATCTTTTGGTGCAGTCCAATTGAAGCATGTTCCAATGTAACATAAACTTTATCATAAAAGTCATGCTGTAATTTAAGTAATACCGCGTGTGAGCAACATTGAAAGTGAATTTTGAAAAGAGGTGTCTGGATAAATTTGAAATGGAAAAGTAACTTTCTACTAGGACCCAATGGCTGCATGCACCTCCTAGGAGGCTGATCGATTCTCTCTCGTCAGACCCAAAAGCTCTTCCAGCCATGCATTAAATCGGAAAAAATATTTGTGATTTGAAAGAATGTGAAGAAGCTCCAATGTTGCCAGAGACACCTAGTGTGGCTGTGCTTTCTTCCTGCAGCAACTCAGTGAAATATTGGCGCCACTGCCTGAATTAGAATTGAACAGTAAGCACCACTGCTTGGTGGGGAGCTGTACACCTTGTCACGAGTTTGAATTGTGTCTTTTCATTCAGCGAGATTTACTGGGATTGGTCACTTGGAACATGGCCCTCAGGTGAGAACCCAGTACAAAGTGGCTGTGACAAACACTCTGTCCTAAAAACGTGTGTTTCTAATGGAGCAGTTTCACATAGTGACTGCCTGAGCCCCGGCCCTACTGTAATCATGTTCCAACTCGAGACAACAGCTAATTTATTGGATTTTGGTGGCTCCAGAGAGTTGGGCAAGGAACTTGACAGAAAGTTATGTGTCTCGGACGTGTGGAAAAATTAGGTTAAAATCATTTCCCCTGACCTTTCTGAATATCCGATTATTTTTCTAATGTTTTGAGTTTTACTGAGGCGTCTTTCCTATTGAACTGAATTGACTTTTTCTTTCTTTTGTTCCAACTCTTAAGAGATTAGCACAGGCAAACGCGCAAGGAAAATCCGAAACAAAACGCAGAATTATCTAAACCAATACGCCACTGATGGACTCCGGACGCTGTGCATAGCCAAGAGGGTGTGTATTTATTAATAAGCTTGAAGGACCTGTTTAAATGTTCTCCTTTATTCTGTGATGTATTAGTATGGTTGTCGCAGCTATAGCTTTCTCTTGGTGTCCATGACGAGGCCTTAGCAACCAGAGTGTTCGTACTTTTGCCCCTTTTTCCCTTCGCCCTCCTTACAACCACCTTCTGCTACTTTCAGTGAAATTTAATTGAGCAATTTTGAGATCTTTCAAATAAAGCAGCGGGGAAAATGAGAACATATGGCGTGAAATGAAAACAGACCATATTCCCATCACAGACTTTGTGTAGTCTTCCCCAATCGTATAGGCTGCCCGTGTGTTTAATCTGTAGAGTAGGGTCCTGCTTATAACTTCCTAATATCTAGATGTGCTTGAGTAAACTTGCAAGATATCTAGAACAAAAATAGAAGTTGCTGGAAAAGCTCAGCAGGTCTGGCAGCATCTGTGAAGAAAAAAATCAGAGTTAACGCTTCGGGTCCGGTGACCCTTTCTCAGAACTGTCCGAGCCAAGCTTTTCCAGCAACTTCTGTTTTTATTCCTGATTTACAGCATCCGCAGTTCTTTCGGTTTTTATTTTGCAAGATCCCCATCCATCTCCAAAATCCACTGATCAGCCCTGACCTGCTGGTCCTTCAGGAAAACAGTTGCTGATCCACAAACCCATAGCAGAGGAACGACCAAGTCCCATGGAGTATGTATTACAATAATCCTGCTGTCAGCAACAGCCCTGGAGTAGGAACAGTCTGAAACTGTTGCCTTGAATGCAGTAGATTCCTTTTTGAATAGTTGTCTGTAAGACCATAAAATGTAGGAGCAGAAGTAGGCCATTCAGCCCTCCAAGTCTGCTCCACTATTGAATGAGATCATGGCTAACCTGATAATCCCCAACTCCACGATCCTGCCTTTTCCCATAATCCATGATTGCCCCACTGATTAAAAATCTGTATGTTTCACTCTTGAATACACTTAACACACCAGCCTGGACAGCCCACTGTGATAAATAATCCCACAGATTAACAACCCTCTGAGAGAAGAAATTTCACCTCATCTTTCTCTTAAATGTAGGACCCCTTGTACCAAGGTATAGCCTTCGGATCCTAGACTCTTCCATAATGGTAAATAACCTTTAAGCATCTAGCTTCTCAAGTCCTCTAAATATTTTGCATGTTTTAATAAGTCATACAGTCATAGAGATGTACACCACGGAAACAGACCCTTCAGTCCAACTAGTCCATGCTGAGCAATTATCCGAAATAAATCTAGTCCCATTTGTCAGCATTTGGCCCATATCCCTCTAAACCCTTCCTATTCATGTACCAATCCAGATGCCTTTTAAATGTTGTAATTGTACCAGCCTCCACCACTTCCTCTGGCAGCTTGTTCCATACATGCACCACACTCTGCATGATAACGTTAATCCTCAGGTCCCTTTTAAATCTTTGCCCTCTCATCTTAAACCTATGCCCTCTAGTTATGGACTCCACTATCCTGTGGAAAAGACCTTGGCTATTCACCCTAACCATTTCCATAAGGTCACCCCTCAGCCTCCAAGGGAAAATAGCCCCAATCTATTCAGTTTCTCCCTATAATCAAATCCTCCAACCCTTGCAACATCCTTGAAAATCTTTTGTAAACCCTCTGGTTCTTCTTAATTTCAACAAGTGTATGTCTGATCCACACAATCTCCTCAATCTCCACATCTGATATCAGCTTAGTCATCCATCTCTGGACTGCTTCTAATGCCACTATATCTTTCCTTAGATAAGGGGCCCAAAACTCTTCACAGTAAGTGCTGTGACTTGGCCTTGTGGCCTTGTGTAGTTTTAGCAAAACCTCTGTAACTTTATAGTCCATTCCCTTTTTCAATAAAGGCCATATAAATAAAGGCCAACATTCCATTTCCCTTCCCTTTCACACCCCATTGCCTATCTTCAATGTGAATAGCCACCACCAGCCAATTGGTGAATCCCATTTGCTGCCACCATTTTTAGGTGCGTCACTGGCTGTGTTGAGCAGACAGCCGCTTTCTGATTGGCCGAGCTTTAATCAATAAAGTTTTTTACAGCCCTCATGCACCATCCCATGCGGGACTGACAAATACACTGTAGCCATTCCGGATAAGCATGAAGCATTTTTTATCAAATTGCTTCATTGTGTAAACAGGATGGAATCAGAACAAGAGAAGCTAATGTAACTCCAGTCAAAGGTCAGTAATCAACACTGCACTGTGTTATCACCACTCCCTTTTAGCTGCCTTCTCAAGGAATTACTCACCTCAGCACCACCACTCTTTTAGCAGAGGCTCTGTTTTACTTCAGGTGTGCTCTGATCAATTTCTGTTCTTCCAAGAAGCTTAATCACTTTGTACCTGTATCCTTGAGATCTGTGCTCTGTACAATCAATTGCAGGTCGGCACGGTGGCTTATTCAATAGTACTGCTGCCTCACAGTGCCAGGGACCCTGTGTCTGTATGGTTCTCCTCTGGGTGCACCGGTTTCCTCCCACAGTCCAAAGATGTGCATGGCCATGCTAAATTAACCATAGTGTCCAGGGATGTGCAGGATTGGTGGGTTAGCCTTAGGAAATGCAGGGTTAAAGGGATAAAGGGGTGAGTCTGGGTGGGATGCTCTCTAGAGGGTCAGGGACTTGATGGGCTGAATGGCCTGCTTCCGCAGTGTGGTGTTTCTATGAATTTGAGGTGGGCAGAAGCTGTAAATTCAGATGCAGTGCTTAATTTTGTAACCAGGTGGCAGAAAAAGAATCTTTCTCATGAAGCAACCTTAAAGTCGTTCTCTTGATTTTTTTTTAATGTTCAGTTTTGCTCAATAGCAAATTAGAGAAGAAAACAAAGACACTTAAAAATGTAAACTACTGGAGAATAGCCGCAACCTGAGGTAAAGAAAACATGAATGAGAGACATTAAATTAAAAAAGGGGGTTAAAATGAGGGACAAACTGGTGAGCAAGGGATATTCATTTGTTCTTTTTCCATGTTTAATTGGTAATTTCATTTTTTCCATCTCTGGAATCTGTTCTAGAAACATGTCCAAACTCTTCAGAAGAAAGAATTTTTCAAACATATTTTATTTGGAAGTCTGGCTGGAGAGTGGCACAGGTTCCAGAATGTTTCTGTCATGGAAAATTCCTTCTGCATGCAGTTATATATTGCTGTCCAGAATAAGTCTATGGGGAATGAATAGGTTGCTTTGCTCTCCAAGGCACTGATTAATCAGGGAATGTCCCTAAAAAATAACTCTGGTACTACCAAATGAACACCAGCATCACCACACAGGGGGTCAGGAAGGCACCCTTCTTAAGACTAAGAATAAATACTAACTGCTAGCTTTGCTAATGATGCATACATCCTCAGATTTAATTTTTAAGAATTGGTAAATATACCAATATAATGGCCGTTTGGAATGATCTGTACATGGCAGTACATAACCATCTCGTTGACAATGATATTGGATAGTTTTCACTTTAAAGAAATACATGGGACGGATGTAAATCAGAACTAGAGACAGGGAAATAAAACGATGGAACAAAAAAAATGGGTGAAACCAAAATTGTGCTGGACAATCTGTAAGGAGAGAGAAACAGGTGGACGTTGGGAATATATTTTGTAAATATAGACCAGACATAGACCTGAAGCAAATCATTTCTGCCAAAGTGATGAATCAAACTGTAGGGCCTGTGAACTTGAGGTAGTTGAGTTTGTTTTTGTTTGTGTATTGGGTCCTATCTGTACAAAAAGAGGAGAAGAATGAATTCAACTTCCATTGCCAAATTCTCACACTCTCCACAATTTGCAAACATCTCA